GGTCCCCACAGCCCTCCGCCCAGCAATTCAGTCCCTCAGGGAGTTTGGATGTGTCTATGGAGCTTTCAAGACCTTTCCTTGTACAAGTTGTGCTGGGTTCCTGAGTACCGTGTACTGTCTTACCATTCACCAAAGTTACCACTTACCTATTGTCTATTTAGTATTCCCCCCCATCCCTCATAATCAACAAAGATTGTTACTTTCTGTACGTAAACTTTTTCATGAGTTTTTACAATCAAGGTCTCATACAATATTTGTCCTTTTGTGATTGACTTATTTCACTCAGCATAATGTCCTCCATTTTCATCCTTGTTATGAGATGCTTCACAGATTCATCATTGTTCTTTATTGTTGCATAATACTCCACTGTGTGTATGTACCCTAGTTTGTTTATCCACTCATCTGTTGATGGGCATTTAGGTTGTTTCTATATTTTTGCTGTTGTGAACAATGCTGCAATGAACCTGGGAGTGCGTATGTCTATTCGTGTGACGGCTCTTATTTCTCTAGGATATATTCTTATGAGTGGAATTGCTGGATGGTATGGTATTTCTATTTCTAGCTTTCTAAGGTGCTTGCCATGTTTTGTGGTATAGGTTTATTTATTTTTTTAATCTCCAATAGCTGAGAGGTACATTGTGCGTGTGCCTGTGTGTGTGTATAAACACTAGGATAACTCACAACTCACCAAAGAACAAAAGTGCTTTATAATAAATGATTTTAGAAACAGATTTTAGGAAATGGAGTTATTAGTTTAAATCATTTATTTTAAACTAGGGCCACCAGATTTATCTTTTTTTCTAGGTGAAATAAAAAGCAAAAATAGGATTGCTTGCCAGTAGCACACACGGAAATTAAAGATAACCCAAAATCTAAGCATAAGCATTTTTGTTTTCCTAGCCTACCTACCTGAATATTCTGGCGATATTGGTACAGACATCCTTGTCACCCATGTACCACTCTATCACAGTACAGAGGTCAGGAAGAGCTCTGATGCTCAGGAACTCCCTTCTTGCTAGTGGTGAATCAGCCAAGTTTCTCAGTGCAGCAGTCACCTAGATAAAAGCATGTTTGTGTCATCTTTTTAAACTGGAAAATACAGCAACACTAATCAGCACAGCATAATTCACCCCATAAATTTCACTGTATTAATAGCTAAATCCGGCCCCTGTTGTGCATCTCCCAACAGAGAACCTGGGCTTGGGCACAGGTGGCATGAAATGAAAACTTAATAGACAAAGACAGCCTAATTTGGTTCCAAGGTAAAGAATGAAACATTAATGTCAGTAAACAAAAACCAAGACACCAGGGTAAACAAATCATCATCTGAGTTTGTTAACAGCAATAAGTCTTCGATAAACCTGTGATAAACCACATCAGTTCCACAGAAACTTCTCGTTCTGTATTTTTATAAGTACCATCAAATAATGATGTGGCCAGGCAATACTGAAGACAGTCAGTCTCCTTCTTTTCCAAGAGGCAAGTATTGAGAAACTCTCAAATGTGTCTTATTTTGTAAAAATTTTTCAGGAAAGCTACCTTTGTCTAAAAGTCCAGGAGACAGTAATTTAGAAAATCCATAAAACTAATTGTTGCTGCTATCTAATACTTTTTACATGCAGAGTATTCTTTCCTCCTGGGAGAACACAGAGTAATGCTTAAGTGAGGCAACTTTGGGGTTGGACAGCCTGGTCAAATCCCAGACCCACTATGCACTAGCTTGAGTTACTTATTTAGCCTTCCAGAGCACATCTTTCTCATCAGTAAAATGCTTGTTGTTGTTAGCTGCCCCCAAGTCAGGGATGATGAATTGCCCTGGAATTGTGAGGGTTTAATGAGATGAGATGTGTACATTATACTTCCAGTGTATATAAGCTTCTGGGGTCTCAAAATTCCCTTCCCACCTTTGTTGTGGGACTTCACACCCAAAATGCCGAAGAGGAGGGAACACTGGCCTTAGAGTCAAATCTCTTCCCACTTATGCGACTTAAGAGTGGCTACTCATTACTCAACCTCCCTATTTCCTTATCTGTGAAAAGGGGATTACAATCCCTGCTCACATCTCAGGGTGGTTGTGTGTATCAGATATAAAACATGTAATGATTTTTTTTGAGCACTGAAGACCATTATGAAGGTACATGAGTGACTCAAAAAATTTATGCTCAACTACTAACCTAAAGGTTGGCAGTTTGAACCCAACCAGCAGCAGTACAATTGTTAAGTGCTTGGCTGCTAACCCAAAAGTCGGCAGGTAGAACCCACCAGCCACTCCTCAGGAGAAAAGACCTGGAGATCTGCTCCCATAAAAATTATAGCCTAGGAAAGCCTATGGGGCAGTTCTACTCTGTAACACATGGGGTTGCCATGAGTTGAAATCGACTCGTCATCAATGAGTTTGGTTTTTGGTTTGAAAGCATTACGTAAATATAAAATATCATTATAGCCATAGTTAACAAACTTTTAAAAACAATTATTAAGATGATATGTATCTTTGATTAGTTGTCCCTTTTAACAATAGCAACAAAAAGATCGTGTAAGTTAAAGCACACCTGACTACCTTGAAAGCAGAGCAAGTAAAAATAATGCTTCAAATACATGTGTACAAGTCTTTTGTAGTCAGTTCAGTTATACAATTCAGTAAATTCTTTCCTGAAAGCTTCAGTAACCCAAACATTGGAGGGGAGACAAATGACTCACACATTTCACTTAACCATGGGTCTACAATGTAGACTCCAAAGCTAAGGAATAGGTCTTTGTGAAGATTAATAAACCATTCTAGGCATTCCAGGCAATCACTGTCATAAAATGGAAAATTCTCATCATCTGACCCTGGCTCTCCCTGTTCTCCTTCTTCTGAGACATCCCAGGCACTGAAGGGCTACTGGTTTACATCAAGTCAAAAGGTGACTCATAGTCAGGTCTTCGAATCGGTTCATTCTGGTTCGAACCCCTGCTGAGAACTTGCATTTCCAACCAGATATACTGAATCAGAGTCTACATTTTAACAAGGTCTTAAGAATTTTAAGAATCACCTAAGGATCTTGTTAAAAATGTAGATTCTGATTCAGTATATTTGGGGAGGAAATGCAAATTCTCAGCAGGGGTTTGAAACGGAATGAACTGGTTTGAAGCTCTGCTCACAGACCATCCTCTGTGGAGTAACGGAGCACAGAGGCCTGTGTGAATTCTCACATGAACCATGGGAAACCAAGGAACACCCGTTCCAATTGTTGCACACTGAACAGTTCCTTTTCCCTGGTCCCCAGTGCTTCAAAGACTGGGTACCCCTGACCCACAGTTACCTTCTTGCTCCCACATCTAACCTCTGGCATTGCTAGTAGAAGGGACCACAGTTTTCTTAGGAGCTTTTATTTTCTTGTTTCACCCTCAGTTTTTTTTCCTCCCTCACAACCCTTTTTCTCACTTCATTAGAAAAAGTTAAGATAGCTCAAGGTTCATCAGCCTCAAATACACAACTTTTATAAATAGCCCAAATCAAAAGTAGGAGCATACACTTAATGTGATTTAAATCCCCTTCCCTTCACCACACATATGACATTGTATGGCGTGCATGTAGTTGAGTGAACACGATGCCTCAAAAGTACAGACTGGTCCAGTTGTAATGCTGGTAGAAATAACATGCACAAAACACACACACTTAAGAATACATAGTAATACCTCAATATATGATACCACCATCACAAATCAACCCAGTTGCTTAAGACTCAAACCTCAGAAACATCCCAGAATCTTGCCTTTCTGCTTTCCGTCATTCTAAGTCCTACGGGCTTTTTCTCCATTGCTCCTAGCAAACAATTCAGTTCCCTGAATCATACAAGGCCCTGCATCAATGCATCAGAGTTTCCCCCAGATCACAGCCCACCGGAGAACTCCTATTTAGCTGCATCAGAAGTTAAACAGGCTTTTTGGCTATGATCTGGCTCTTACCTACTCCTCAACCTTCATTTTATACCATATATCCTCCACAAATTCCATTTAATATTAGGTTGTTGAATATTATATTTTCCTACCTGTCTACCTCTCTAGACTAGGAGCTTCAGTGAGGGCATATACCTTGTTTGTCTTTCCACCATTGTGCCTCAGGCTGAAATCAGTGCCTGGCACACAGTGGATCCTCAATAAATATTTGTTGATGGATCGAATAGATGAATATCTACAAAGGAAAGACTGAGTGTAAATAGAAAGGTTGGTATATCAGAAAGCCAGGGATGAATCAGATTATTCAGATTATAACTCTGAGGTAGATCCATTTTAAGATGATTTTAAAGGACTAGAGAAATACAATATAATTCATGAAAGAAAATGGACACTCTGGATGGGGACTAGTTTCCTTGCGTATTCCCTAACTTATTCACGACAGCAGCTCTTTCCCAGATTCCTAAACTCCCATCTCCCTTTCCCTTTTCATACCCAGTTTGTCCCCCTTTCTACCTCTTCTCTTCATCCCCAGGATTGGCCATTCAGCTTAAGCCCACTTCATCTTTTACCCAAACTCTACAGCCTCCTGAATGGGCTCCTTCTGTAGTCTCTCTCCTCTGCTCACTGCCCCACAGGGGATCACTGTTGCCAGAAGGAGCATCCCAAAGCCCAGTCTTCCCTGTTCAAAGCCTACCTTAGGCTTCTGGGGCTTACAGGGTCAATTCATACTCTAAAAGGCTCTTCACTCTCTAAAGTACAGTTGAACCCTCGGCTCATCTCTTTCTACCGCCATTCTTCCTCCCTCTCTCCACCACACACTGGTCATCTTTCTGCACACACAACATCCTTGTGCTTTCACAGTTCTATGCCTCTGAAAATACAATTTCCTCTGCCCAGAATGTCCTCCTTGATCACCCCTCTCCACCTGATAAACTCCTTGTTCATTTTCCAGGACCCTGCTTGTGCTCGCTTCTCCTCTGTGAAGGTTTTCTAATCACTGTCATGGATTGAATGATATCCCCCCAAAATATGTGTCAACTTGACTAGGCCATGATTCCCAGTATTGTGTGACTGCCCACCATTTTGTCATCTGATGTGATTTTCCTACAAATTGTAAATCCTATCTCTATGATATTAATGAGATGGAAGTAGTGGCAGTTAGGTTAGTGGGACAAAACTCAATCTACAAGATTAGGTTGTGTTTTAAGCCAGTCTCTTCTGAGATATAGAAGAGAGAAGTGAGCAGAGACAGGGGGACCTCATACCACCAACAAACAAGAGCCAGGAGAACAGCACGTCCTTTGGACCTGGGGTTCCTGCACTGAGAAGCTCCTAGACCAGGGGAAGATTGATGACAAGGACCTTTCTCCAGAGCTGACAGAGAGAAAGGGCCTTCCCCTGGAGCTGGCACCCTAAATACAGACTTCTAGCCTCCTAGACTGTGGAATACATTTCTCTTTGTTAAAGCCATCCACTTGTGATATTTCTATTATAGCAGCACTAAATAACTACGATAATCACCTACTCTTTTCCATTAACAATCTACCCTATTCATACATCTGTAACACACAACACAGAATAATAATCTCCTGTACACCTCCTTTTCCATTGTGAATTCATCTACTATACAAACCATTTCTTATTTCTCTATCTGAGAACAACAAACATGCACATAAAAAGCTCTTAAATGTTCAGCCACTGGCTCCCTGGCTGTGTAGATGAAACACAGAAGGGGAGGAAGGAAAGGAGGAGGGACACGGGCGAAGAGAAAGAAAAGTTTTTCCCCTTTAAGAAACTTTTGGCAGGAAAGTGCAGAGGATTAGCAGAGGCCTGGTGGTAAACCAAAGAGATTAAACCCCTGAGGGAGAAAGATCAGGAAGAGGTCACCAGGCAGATGCAGCTATGAAACCCCACCCCCCTTTTCACAGACTTCTCTGTGAGCTATCAATCACACTAAGGGGCAAAGCAGGGACTGAATGCTCAGAAAAGTAGCTTTTTCTGGAAAAAATGTAAAAAGATCTGTGGGAGGAGAGCCTACTAAACGCTGTGGTAACAGTCAAGGGGAGTGAGTTCCAAGTTGAGTCCACTTAACTCTAAACCTTGCTCCAACATTTGA